CCTATTTCCCCGAAACCCCTAAAAGTAAAAAATGAAAATATTAAATAAAAAATGAAAATTAAAAAAAAAAAAATATTTTTTTAAAAAAACATTTTTGGTATTGGTTTTGGTTTCGGCCTGACAAATTTTTCTATTTCGGTTTTGTTCCGGTTTTTAAATTTCTATTTTGGTGCACCTCTAGTAATGAGAATAGTGTACAACTATCATCGCATTATCAATTAATTGGAGAGATAGATTATATATAATGTGTTTTTTTTTTTTTTTTTATTATACCCAAAATTGATGCGTATTTATTTTCTTTACTAAATGTTTAACTGGTCTTAAAAAGAAAACTATTGTTACAATTAAGTGCTGCAACCAACTAAATGAGAATAGTTGTCAACTATTCTCATTATCGATTAGTTGGTTGGATCCCATAGCGTTCTCCACGCTGGGAGGAGAGCACAGCAGGTAGTGGGCTATTGCAATTTGAAATGGCCAATAGCAGGTTGGCTATTGCACCAGCCCACTACCTGCTGTATGTGCATTCAGCTGCCGTCTGTGGAATCTTGCCAATGGCAGCTGTCATTCTCTGGCTGAAGCTATGCAAGCGCCATGTGCTTACTATACAATAAAACAAAAAAGGATTTATACAAAAAAGGTGGGAAAAAGTGTTTCAATGGCACCCCAAAGGCACCTGCCACCCACAGTGTGATCGCCCACACGGTACCGCACTGCCATGCATTCCAGTGCAATTGCAAGTGTGGACGCAGTTTTATTTTGAAGTAAATTTTGTAACACTGCACTTGTGTATTTTATTTTATATTAAGGATGGTATTTAATTCTGTTATCCGATTAACCCTTTCCCTGCCACCGACGTAAGGCTTACGGCGGAACACAACTGTTTCCACCTGGCCACATCAGTAAGCCTTACATCGACAGCTTTCTCCCTTATGCAATAAGCTCATGGTGGCTTTTGCGACCATGAACTTATATCAGAACTGTTCCCCCGATGGACCCCCTTAAAATAATAGCCGTCATCAGTGGCTGGCAAGCTATTAACCGCCGGCATCTGCAGCCTCTCCGTGATCCCCGCTGCCTGTATGGGCTGAGGCATTGGGGATCTGATGATAAAATTACAATTGAAGCCGGCGGGGAGGAGGGGCTTGGTGGCCTAAAGCTGGACTCCACGCCGACAGCAAACAAAGAGGCTGGACTCCATGCAGATTTCATTACAAATCATAACATGTTTTTATTTTGTTTTTTTAAATACAACCAGTGTAAGTACATGAATTTGGACCTTTGGCCTCTATCGCCTATAGAGTAGAACTCATATTGGAAGAGATGGAGCCACAAAACTAGTGTACACAGCAGATCTGATTGGCCCTATGTGCTCATCTGTCTGCTGCTTCTCCTTCGCTGTCCAGTCTCAGGCTTGGGCATAGAGATAACCATAGATGCAGTAGAAAACTTCTGCACAGTCAGAAATACATATCCTCTGGTAGGTTAATAAAAATTCAGCATATTTATTTTAACTGTCTATTTAGTTGCTTTCCAGGAGTACAAATTTAAATGTAACATGTGAATTGCAAAATAAACAATATATTCAACTAGCCAGCTGTACTAGAACTGAAATATGTAATATGTTCTTACAGTGTAATCTCTAGTGCATAAAAATGATGTAAACAGCCCAATGTTATGATGGCATCTGGATAATACATAGTGCAACACTTCTCTGCTGTTCAGCATATCACCACACCTGATCCCTGCAAGGCACCCTCTGAGGGAATGTGCAAACAAAAGGAAATGCTGTGTTCAGCTATTATGGATAGAAGAACAGGGGATGAAAACTGAAAAGATGCCTTCCGAAATCTGGGATTGTTTACCCGTCTAATTAATGGCAAGGGTGGCAGGACTCGAATAAACTTTCATTTGTATTCCTTCTACTATTTTCAAAGTATGGACAAGGAAATGCCAGTTTACCTTTGGACATGATTTGTTAGGCAACATGTGCACTGCCTATAATAGGATCAAAGAATTTGAGAAATGTATGCAAAACTTTTTTTTACAAGGAAAAACATTATCTGTAAGAGCAAAGGGTAGGTTCCAGCCATATGACTTTGGACATTTCAATGTGCTACCTTACATGTACAATAAACCTAAATAGCAACTGCTGAGGATATCCAGGAGTATAAAATAATAATAATAAAAATAAGTACCCTTGCAGTGGGGTTATCCTCGCACTGCAAGGGATAAGTGCTTTTTTTGTCTAGGGGACTCAAAGCAGATATACTCACCTGATCCTCTGTCCTGTGGTGGTTGGTGCTCATCTCTCTCCCTCTCCTTTCCAGCTATGGAATGTCCCTCAACATGCTCAGGTCAAATGCGCGTAAGTGGACCTGCATTAGACGCAATGTAAATGGTCCTTTGACCTTTGGAGCCCAGGGAAGAGGCGGCAGCAGGACCGAGGGTCAGGTGACTATATAGGTTTTATTTGAGGATCAGGTGAGTAAATCTGTTTTATTTGAATGGGCTGGTGTGCGCACGCAGTGTGCGCGTGCCCACACCGGCCCGTTCGGCATTTGTCTCCCGTGCATGCCACAAACCAGCCGAAAATCTTAAGATTTTCGAACATGCTCCTTAGACAAAAGACGTGCGACCGTACAGTAAAAACGGTCGCACACCTTCCATACACTTTGCGATTATCGTACGATTGCGGGATTTCCCGCGATTATCGTGCAATAATCGCACAGTGTATGGGCACCTTTAGATCCAAGCTGGACTAATCCCAGGAGCCAGGTAGCCAATGCACCTTTAACATAACACATGACAGCCAACTTTTCAAGTTTTCTCTAGTTGTTGTCAATGAGGCTGGTTGCTAAAAACAAAATATCTGCTGATTTCTAGATTGGACAGACTTGCTCCGCATTCATTTGTTCACCCCTGACCTTAAGGGTTATTTACTAAATCTGGAGCAGCTTGTGCATGGCAACCGATCAACTTCTATCTTTAGCTTGCTCAGTAATGGAACTAAAACCTCTTATCCTTAGCAGCCAAGGAAGGTGCCATCTTAGATTGCAGATGCCATGGTGATTAGCTATGACACCAGCCATTTGAGTATTTGAAAGTTTGGTTGAGAGCTGAAATACGCACACTGGCAACCCTGGCAATTGGCATGCCTAGAAAGTAACTGTTATGAGTGACCATAGCTTTGAAAATAAACAATAGAAGCTGGCTGGTTGCCATGAACAGCTTAGCGGCACCAGATTCTGTCAGCTCCAGTCTTGGTAAATCCACTTTATAGTAACCAAGATTGAATGCAGGTTTATTGTTTTTATAGGCCCATGTACACCGTGTGTATAGATCAGTAAATGTGCACTGCGCTTAGATTTGGCAAATCATATAATCTGCATCTGTGGTCAGTAAATTACATATTTACACACATGAATTTAAGGTAGAGAAAGGTAAGAATGTTGCCAATCTCTATATGTCTAAACACTTGTTTACAGAAGCACTTTACTGACCATTCAACTTTTTTTTCTATGCAGGTTTTTTTTGCAGCCACCAAAAACCTGTGTAACTATCAATAAACTCTTTATGGCCGTGTGCACGAGCTTGTAATTTTGATATGTTCTTCATTCAACCGGCGGGCTGAACGAATAAAATATAACAGATTACTCCCATCAGCACTTACTCACATTGATCGAGGAATCCCCTGCGCTTTCTATTGTATTGAATATTCAAATGGAGCCTGCCGCTCACTGGCTGCCAGCTCCATTCGCCCAAAACCTTTCCAACCTGCCCCTTTGATCAGTTGATCACGGTATGCCAGCCAGAAGGGTGCAGACAGCGGTACCCACTGTATGAATTTTGGCTAGTTCATAAGGAACCGGCTGAAATCCAATACATGTATAGCAGGCTTTAGATGTATCTTTTCACATAGCCCCCCCATCAGTGGCGTCACAAGGGGGGGATGCAGACCACACCAGGTGACACCATCTGAAAAGTCAGGCACTTGGTCATGGCCCAACAGCCTGACAGTTGCACGAGAGAGAAGGGGACCCAGCAGCATACCTTATCCTGCCGGATGAGCATCCCCTCCTCTCTTTGCCGGCGTCCATCACAAAGATGGCGGTCAGCAGTGACGTGCAGAGGACGCATGTGTAATGACATCACGTGTATGCGTAATGATGTGTGCACCGGGTGACACCACTGGCTCCCATCGTGCTGCACATTGGGTACACCAAGGAGAATCTCATCCACGGACATACAAAGAATTCAGATTCAAGCTGTCGATTGTGCTCTTCCTTTACTCGGGAAACTCTGACGATGAGAACTTTAGACTGGAATGGTGTATTTGCAGACACGAAGGGTGTCAAAGGGGACCAAACACCTGCAAAACGCACATCAGAACTAATGCATTGATTACAGGTGCATCATCATGCATGCATTGTTTATGGGCAATCACTTTCTCTCCATAAGTTACAATCTGACCATGCAATCAACTTAGAATTTACCAAAACTATGTAATATAACACTTAATCCATCCAATCAGACAGGCCCTTGCACTACATAGTTGTTGGTAGATGTAAAGGAGATTGTACAGATTGTAAAGAGAGTGTGTGTGTGTGTCCAGTTTAAAGCAAGGTAACATGTACACTAGTCAATGACCGATCATCAATGCAGAATGATCCAGAAGTGCCTGCAAGCCAAGATGACCCCGTGCTGCATTGTTACACTGCACCCCCTCTGCACTACAACACACCTGCTCCCCAAACCGAGGTGTGCGATGCAGACAAAGCGCCGCCAGACCCCGGCGATCCCAAGCTGTGTATTAGATCTCCATGTATCCGTCTTGGAGGATCAACACAAATCCCGGCAGCAATCACCATCCACTCACCTGCGCTCCCCCCGATAATCCCCACTCCCCCCTACTTAAAGAGATTAGAAACTCCCCCAGGTCTGCACTCCAAACCACACACAACCGACCGGAGAGGACGGGCCCCTTCCCTCCTCCTTACCTTTAAACGCGGCTGCCGGGGCCTCCTTAAGTCGAGCTCATGCCCGGGGTAGTTCGCGGAGAGCCTGATACACCGGGAGGCCTCCGTCGCCTACCAACCCCGGCTCTCCATCGCTGCGCACTTGACAACGGAAATGACGGTAAACGTTAGCCGCTAATCACATTCCTCATAACAAAGCGTGAGCGCCTAGCCGATGGAAATAAAACTGCTGCCGATTGGTTAATTCCATTACAGGATCAGTAGAACGTAGCTCCACCCCTCTGCACGAAGAGTAATACCGTCACTCTGCGAGGAGGCTCTATGATTGGTCGCTGCTTGTGAATGGAGGCTGCTGTGATTGGATAACGGAGATAATCATTTAAAGTTCCTCTAATAAACTAGTGTGATTGTACTCACGCTGTGAACAAAAGTACTAGAGAGCTGTACAACTTGGTGTACATGGGGGTGGGGACATGTATTAAAACTGGAGCAGGCAGAATCTGAAGCAGTTGCCTATAGTAACCAATCCGCTTTTCTCTTCAGTTTGTTCTGGTAAGCTTTGAAAAGGAAAGCTAGAACCTGATTGGTTGTCGTGGGGAACTGCTCCACATTCTGTCTGCTCCAGTTTTGATACATTTCCCTCAGCATCTTTAATCACCCTTACAGCTATATTGTGTAGTGCCAACATGTTACAATGCACCTTTTACCTCTACAAGGTTTCACTCACACATGTTTTTATTTTAATTTTTCAAATTTTAATATTTTATTTTTTTAGAAACTTTTTCATTTTTTTAAATTCATTTTTATTTATTAATTGCCCCCCCGGTTGTTACGCCACTGCTGGATACAAATGGCTAACATGGAATACATGGCTCTTGGCCAGGGGTGGGCAACTCCGGCCCCCTACCTGTGCTTTCACTACAAATGCCAACATGCCTCTGGGAGTCATGCCTGTGGCTTTCAGAGTCTTGCAATGCCTCATGGGATTTGTAGTTCCACAACAGCTGGAGGGCCAGAGTTGCCTACCCCTGCTCTTAGGCCCTGTTCACATTGAGCGATTCGCAAATCGCGCGTTTGTCGCGCAATTTGCATTTTGCGCAATATCGCGCAAATGCTTGCATTGAGCAAGCTTGAATCGCGGCAAAATCCGCTCCAAAAAGGGTCCTGTAGCGACACCCGACCCGCGACAGCAGGACCCTTTGCCCCATTGAGAAGCATTGGAGAGCGATATTGCGCGGTAAATTGCCGCGATATCGCGGGAATTACCGCGCGATAAATCACTCAATGTGAACGGGGCCTTAGCCTGTATTTGGAGGAGGAAGAGTCTCTGGATGGGATTAACAAAGACTGGTAAAAAACAACAAAAAGAAAAAAGCACAGCGCTCTCTTAGGGATGTGAGGTATGTGTGGATGCAGTCAATTTGGATTGCTGCTCTAGGAACAGGGGGAGAGACCTGTGAACATGGAAATAAAGCAATAAGAGCGCAAATCCTGAGAGTGTGAATGGTGTCGGGACAACCCGTATCTGTGGGATATGAATGGAAAAAATAAACAAAAAATGGGGACTTACTTTGGGTGCCAAGGATGAGGTTCTGGCGATGCAAGGAGTATTGTGTGGTGGTGTTCGGTATGTGGTGGTCTCCAGATAAGGGCTTGGGGGCGAGGCAGGACAGGTCTTAGGGTTTGGCCATGACGGCTGGATGACTTCTATTCCAGCCATCAGGGGGATCTCCCCCTGATCTTTGGCCACCGCAGGACCAAAGATCAGGTGAGTAAAATAGCTTTTGCAACAATATTTTAACAATGTATGCCCAAATTCCTGCTTGCAAACTTTGCTTTTTCCTAGGGCAAAGTTCCACTTTAAAGTGGCATTAAATTAACCCCCCCCCCCTCAATGCTGGTGTAAGGACTTACCTTAAATGATGTCTCTTGATCTGATCATCTTCTTCTTTCAAGTAATTTTTCAGGAGTCCCTCCAGCGCTGGTGTCGGTCTCTGATCCAGCGCTGACTGCTGCAACTGCTGCATCTCCGGTGCCTGTTCGACGTGCATGCTCCCGGCTGCGTGTATTGACTTACACTGTGTTTCTCCTCTTCTCCTGGCCAAATATCTCTACTGCGCATGCGCCCGCCCCATCATCCTTCATGGCCGCTGGAGAATCTTCAGATCTTCAGAGGGGAGCTAGTGGCGGAGACACAGGTAAGTTTTTACCTATTTGGTAACTTTTTTTATGTTTTGGCATATATCTAGTGCTTGCTAGCAGTAGACATATGCAAAAGAAAACAAAGGTTTAATTGTACTTTAAGTTCTCTTTCAGATGCTCACTGATCCCAAGATAACAGGCACATAGCTTGAAACGTATGTAGCATGTTTGTTTTTCTGTCTTGCTGATTTCAGCTCATAAAACTGGTGTGATGGGATTATATTTTCAGGTGGACAAGAAAGACATTTTTTTCAATTCCTTGTTCTGTTGATGATGTGACTAAAGTAAGGAAGGGTGAGAACTTGATGACTTGATAAAATGAGAGGATCAGGGGTCTCCAGGACAGGGAGGACACAACCAGCCCTGAAAAAAAATACACTTCAGAGATTCTATTCTTTCCCCATATTTCAAAAAGCACTTTAATGTAAGACTGAAATAAGCAAAAAAAGAAAATCAAGTCCTTTTCAACAGCATTAGTAATGTACAATCTATCGCCTAATCCTCCATATCAATTTGGTATTGTTCACAGGTCTACTAGAGATGTCGTCATAACTATTACCACATTTGCAAGTTCACTCCCCTTATTGAATTCATTTGATAACATTTCTTATCTTACATTTTGTTAACCTTTCTTGTATTTATTTTATTTCATGATTAGATTTCTTATCTTACATATCTTACATTTAATTACATATTTTTTATTATTATTTATATGTTTTATTTGATGATAAGATTTCTTAT